AAAGGCGAGAAGAGAAGATATATAGCGAAACACAATCTCTTCAATATGGAGATTCTTCGTCTCCTTCTCCGTTTCTAGCAGATCATAAATTTACCAAATTTAAGAATGATCCTGAGGCTAAACCATATGGAGATTCTAATTCCTTGAAGCATGAACAAAACGAATCATCTTCAAAGACTCGGCGTAATTTGTCTGCTAGAAAGACAGGTCCTACATCAAAATTTCACTCTTCTCCTAAATCTAGCAGATTAAATTCTTTGACTGGATCCACAGAAGATGCCGTTGAACACAATAGAGAAAGTGGGGATGGCAAACCATTGAATGTTGGTGGAAATTCAGCTTTTGGTTCTAAGATGCCAGACATAATCCAGAGGAGGGTACGTCCAATAAGTTTATTATATAAACATCCTCTTCGAAGGATGTGATTGCTTGTTTATATTCTTCCTTAACTTCTTTCATGTCTACCTTCAGCATGAGTACTGTGTGCATTTTTTATTCTTAATACATCTTACTCGACTATCCGACTTAATCTTATTTTTTTCCAAATTGAAGCTTACACAAATTCTGCCCCTGTTCTCTTCTTTCACGGCCCAAACCTATCACTAGCAGATATTGTCTTCTTTGGGCTTTCTCTTTCGAGCTTCTCCTCAAGGATTTTAAAACGCGTCTGCTAGGGAGAGGTTTTCACACCCTTATAAAGAATGTTTCGTTCTCCTCTCCAACCTATATGGGATCTCACAATCCACCCCTTTCAAAGAATGTTTTGTTCTCCTCCCCAACCAATGTGGATCTCACATTGGGTCTCCTAAGCATTTGGTTTCGCCGCAAGCCTTCATTTTTTTGGGGTGGATAATGAACGTTTGCTCACTTAGAGATGCACGATCGTATTGTTTTTTTTTTTGTTCTCATTTGTATGTCTTTGTTTTGTGTGTTTCTGGTGCATCAAAATCTAACAGTGTGTTCAACTCGGGTGGAATAATTTGATCCTTTCGTAATGAAAGTATCCTTAGCAATTGCTTTTTCATAAAAATATCAAGTGCGGTCGCTGAGAAAACTTAGTTTCATGCATTTAATTATTATATTACAACATTTAGTATGAAATTGTTGCATCTTAGGATGAACTTGACCCTTTTCTAAGTTTTTGATGGTTGTTAATTTGAACTTACCTGAATTTGTAATATTTTTCAGTGCAAGAATGTTATCAGCAAGCTTCAGAGTAGAATCGACAAGGAAGGGCATCAAATTGTGCCGTTGTTAACAGATTTGTGGAAACGGATCCAGAACTCTAGCATACCAAGTGGAGTTAGTAATAACATTTTGGATGTACGGAAGATCGATCAACGTATAGACAGATTGGAGTACAATGGAGTTATGGAGTTAGTGTTTGATGTTCAGTTCATGTTGAAGGGTGCTATGCAGTTTTATGGGTTTTCATATGAGGTATGATTTTAATTGTTTAGCTTTGCTTCTATTTGGACAAAGCCGCTTTTATACATTCTGAGACTTAAATGGACGATATCTAAATAAAACCCATAAAACTATGTCAAACATCATTACTTTTCCTGCCCTCCATTGGCTCACCCAACTGTAGTTCTAGCCGTTGGATCGTCTTTTTCTATCTTCTTTGGCATTTTATTTAGAGTGCATACTTGATCAATCCTCCTATTCTCGTTCATATATGTGTGTATATATGTTTTTAACGTAACTTTCTGAAAGTAATAGTTGAATTATGCTGAAGAGTGAGTTTGTCGTTTTTGGTTTCGTTTTCTTTTTGATCTGGATGTCTATCGTTCTTGGCTAATGGCTACTAACCCACTCTTTTCCATGTTCACGAGCTATGAAACTCAAAGAAATATGGTTGATATGCTACTTTGTCTCTAACGGCTCAAGCTCATCGCTAGCAGATATTGTCCTCTTTGAGCTTTCTCTTTCGGGCTTCCCCTCAAGGTTTCTAAAACGCATCCGCTAGGGAGTGGTTTCCATATCCTTATAAATAATGTTTTGTTCTCCTCTCCAACCGACGTGGGATCTCATAATCCACCTTTAGGGGCCTAGCGTCCTCGTTGGCACTCGTTCCCTTCTACAATCGATGTGGGACCCCCAAATCCATCCCTTTCGGGGTCCAACATCCTTGCTGGCACACCGCCTTGTGTCTACCCCCTTTAGGGCTCAGCTTCCTTGTTGACACATCGCCCGGTGTCTAGCTTTGATACCAACTATAACGGCCTAAGCCCGCTAACATATATTGTCCACTTTGGGCCTTCTCTTTCGAGATTCTCCTCAAGGTTTTTAAAATGGTAGGAAGAGGTTTCCACACCCTTGTAAAAATGCTTTGTTTTCCTCTCCAATCATAGTGGGATCTCACATTATCAAACCCCGGTACTGCTGTTTCTTGATCAATATTTGTGAAGACTAGAAAAGTCTGTTGTTCAGCCTTGAGATAAGTTATCACTGGATATATTTTGGCACTGATTTCAGTTGTTTGGTTCGTCATAAGATGTACTCGTGCATCAATAGGAAAGAAACATTGACATGTTACATAAGATGTATTTACTTGGATCTTTCAGTTCTTTTATTCTCCTGCAAGTAAGATTTGAAATTGTGTGTCCCTTTGATGTGCAGGTTAGAGTTGAGGCCAAAAAAGTTCATGACCTCTTCTTTGATATTCTGAAGATTGCATTTCCAGACACGGATTTTCGAGAAGCTCGGAACGCTCTGCCTTTCTCTAGCCCGGGGTCTTCTGCTGCTGCTGCTTCTTTGAGGGAGAGACCTGTCAGCCAAACCAAAAGACAGAAGATGATAAATGATATGGACGCTGACTCAGGCCCGCCCCGGAAATCACTGCAGCGTGGACCTATGTCTAGGGAAGAAACAAGGGCCACCAGAGGTCACTTGTTGGCACAGAAAGAATCAAGATTTGGCAGCGGAAGTGGAAGTAAGGATCAATATGAAACAGAAGAACCCCCAATTCTTACTCATCCTGGGGAGCTAGTTATCTGCAAGAAGAAAAGAAAAGACAGGGAAAAATCAATAGTCAGGCCAAGGACTGCATCTGGCGGCCCGGTCTCGCCGCCTAGCGTTGCCCGTGGCATTAGAAGTCCAGGTCCCGGTTCAGTATCCAAAGACAGCAAACAATCTCACCCCTCTTCACATTCTCAAGGATGGTCCAACCAGCCTCAATCTGCTAAAGGGGGCGGCGGCGGCGGCGGCGGACCTGTGAGTTGGGCAAATCCTGTGAAGAGATTAAGAACAGATTCAGGAAAGAGGAGGCCCAGCCATATCTGACTATCTTAGGTTAGTATATGAATAATAAAGATTTAATATCGAGCTCAAGCGATGAGGATACTGGGTGGGTGACCCCTTTCCTCGTTTTTTGTAAAGGTGCAGATAGCTCGTGCTGTTAATATTGTAGGTCTTTGCTCTTCAATGCATCATATATATATATATATATATATATATATATATATATATATATATATATATATAGATCCTCTGATGTTTTATATTATTGAAATACATGTTTACTATAGTTAGATCTTTCTGTATTTCTCTGGCTATATATATAGCCTTCAAAGTTACTGTTGTGGCTCAAATATTGAAAAGAAAATTTCCTCTCATTTTCTTGCCATGTTTACACACGCACAGGGTAGCCAAGTGCAAAACGGATAACTAGTGCAAAACGGATAACTACTGACACATCGATGAGTTCTTTGCCCTTATGGGGATGGAGCAACAGAAGTGCGAAGCAGATAATTGTTGAAATAGCGATGAGTTCTCTGCCCCTAGGGGATGGAGTAACAGAAGTGCGAAGCGGATAATTGTTGAGACAGCGATGAGTTCTCTGCCCCTATGGGGATGGAGCAACCATAGGGGCAGAGAACAAAAGTTTTGAGAAATGAGCCATTTATCATCACGATAAGTGTCAAGTGGAAGTGTAGTGATGTATGCAGCTGAGGCATCCTAACAGACCGGTAGACTTGAACTTTGTTCCTACTTGTCAGGCTTCTCAACTCAACTTTTTGAAAATTAGGATCTTCGATTTTATCTTTATTATTTTAAAATACAATATATTCCAAACATTTCTTACTTTGAAAGTTGTTTTAGTTGGTTTTTTATTTTTTTCGAGCAAATCTTTAGTTTTAGTGTGAGATTGTTTTACCAGTTAGCCAATCAAAGAGCTGGTTGAAGTAAAGCTGGAAACTTGTCTATTGTTACCATTAAGAGAGGGGAGAGTAAACTCGAACCAAAATTCATCATCAATTGAAATTTTTGTGAATTACAACAAAATTTAAGCACGATTCATGATGTTTAAGATTTTTTAGTTTTTTTATGATTAAAAAAAAAAGAACATTACTAATTCTTTTAAGAAATCTCATCAAACAAGCTATTTAATTCAAACTAAAAGAATTATATGAATCAAAGGGAATGCATCAACTTAAACCATGGGGCAAAATTTCCATTTTAGGATTTCTCGTTCAATTTTGATAGGAACTGTAATTTTACATATTAGTTTTTTCATGCTAATATCACATTCATTAGCAAGAAAAGTCCAAAACTACTAGTTTTTTCCAACCTCCACAAGCATTTGGGTTCCAAAGCTCTAAAAGGAAAGCATTTGGGTTCCAAAGCTCTAAAAGGAAAGCATTTGGGTAATCTAAATACACACAAAATCTAATGAAATTGATGAGTGACTTAACAAAACCCACCTAGGTTTCTTAGTAACAAGCTTATCAAACAATGTTTCCTTTCTTGAAACTGTATCAAAAGACATCCAAACCTCACCCCAGCAAGCAAAAACATACCCCTTCCAGTTGAAGGTAGGAGGTGTGCATCCTATGGTTTGAGTGTATTGGGAAAAAACTTCTACATTGTCAAGAATTGGATGTTCTTCAGGCACTACAAGGGGCGAATGAAAAGGATTTGAGGCTAACAAGGTAAAAGAAGAAAGAAAGAAAGGGAATCTAGAAGATCATGAGAGGGAGAGAGAGAGACTCCTTGCCAAAAAAAAAATGAACATGTTCATTTATGTTGCAACTAGGAATATGAAGGGGTTGTATGAAAGCACAAAACACTTCAGAAGGCCCAAAACTAACTACATGAATCTCTTCCAGCTATTATTTCCCAAATATACAGATTATGCACTGATCAACCCGTAACTGAACAAATATGTATATGAAACCAAGGAAAAGAAAAGAGAAAAATATCCTGATTTTCCCATCTCTACACAGTTATGGACTTACCAATGAGGTTTTTTTCCGACTACTTAGATTCCAGTTCATCATCACTGCAAATGTTTTCTGGAGTGAATCTGTTCTGAAATCTTCTGCGATGCAATATGAAGACATTAAAGTAGTAGCATACTATGTCTTCTCTGCTTTTGTAAGGGAAAAACTTGGAAATATGATTCCTGAAAGACTGCTTAAAAGATTCAGAACTACACCTCACCGCACTTTTAAACTTATGCTCCTCTTTCCCGGTCCAACAAAGTCGTACTTCCTCCCCCATTCTATCGAATTTCCAGTTATAGAATGCATAGCCTATTTCCATCTTAACTTTCAATCTTTTCTCTAAAATATGATATTGAGTGCATTTAGGGGAACCGCGTACCTGACATTTACACGAATCTTCCCGCCCCTTCCCAACGAGATTGTCTTTATGGCGATATGCTTGGCTATCATTATCTGAAGGCCAAACCAGTGTCCCCAACCACTTAGAGTCGCTTCCAGATGTTATACCACTCCATTCTGGTACTTCAACTTGAAACTTTGGCCCTAAACGTATTTGCTTTGAGGCAGATGTCCCCATGTAAACTGGCATCCAGGAATCAGTTGTTACAAGAATTTCTTGGTCTAGTCGGTTGCCCGTCCCCAGTACAAGATTTTGAGCACTACTCATCCCGTAAGGAAATACTTTCCCGGATTTTGTCCTCTTTCTTAGCTTGTAACAGGAGCCTCCATGTATGTCCTGATATTATAATAAGAGGAACGCTTAAATAACATTACCATGCATTAACTACACGCTAAAGAGATCGGTAACTGTAGCCAAGTTTTCTATTTTTAAGCATTCTTTGAAGAACATAAGCATCGTAACCTATATTGTCATACTGAAAACATGCAGAATGCTAAACTGCAGCAAAAAGATTCAAATACTAACAGTGTATTTCATAAGCTTGTATTCCTGGTCACACAGAACATTAATTGCGAACTAACACAATAAGCATAGAATGTGATGGTGCTGCATCAAGTAGACAAGATTATCCATAAAACCGAAACCCGAACAAAGAACCACGGTAAGCCTATATAGTAACTTTTACATCAACCAATGCAGAAAACAGGTGAGGCACTAAATAATGTGCCAAACAATTATTTCAAAAACATGAAAGGAAGAAGCCATGCAATCATCCTCAAAAAACTACACAATAGGTTGTTTCGTGGCTATTTTTCACAAGTATAAAACGAACCAAGTGCTTGTAGAGCTGCAATAGACACAGACCACAAGCACTAGCGCACTGAACTGTATACTCACACTTTAAAGTATCAAGCAAGGGAGAGCACAGCACTATACATGCGGCATGTTGATATCTCTTTTACAAAATGGTTTCAGACTGAATGTTATGATTATAAGTAGGATGGAATAATATTCATGTGAATAATTTTTGCAAGATCAAGTTTTCATAGAAATATACCTGCACAGCATAAGAATTAATATGTCCTTCCAGGAACATTGCCTCTCGAATCAGAAGAACTTGCTTCCAGATCTCTTCATTTGCGCTTGACTTCCACTCCGAACGTTCAGGTAATAACCCAATAACAGGGTTACATGGATTCTTTGCAATTTCTGCGATCCAATTCACCATTCCTAACATGGACTCACACTTTTTCTCATGGCTAAAATTATGTTCCTCGACTGACACTCCTTGTTTGTTATCAGAATCATAACCATCACACTTTCTGCAGTCGTAAGGGAACTCCACATTGCTTTCTACTCCGTCCACTAATGCATTTTCATATTTCTGAATGTTTAGACTATGGGATTTCTCAATGTCATCAAAATTCTCGTCCACATTGGATGCTAATTCCAGGCTAAAGTCTTCATCTTCATACAAGTCACTTGTGTCATGAATGTCCGGCTTGCTCTTATTTGATTGGCAAAAGGTTTCCCCACAACCAGCAGTATGATTGTCCCTATCAGTCTTTGGAACCACAATCCTATCATCACATACCGAAAAATTTGAGTCCTGCAAATCATTGTTCTTCTTCAAAGACTGAATATACAGCGGCAAGCAATTGAGTCCGAAGCCTGTACTGTCTCCATTACTGCTGCAACTATTTGTGGAGTCTCTATCCTCAACAACCCTTTCAAGAAATCTCTCTAAAACATTCAAATACTCAACGTACAGCACTTTCACCGTGGAGGAGATGATAGAACCTAAACCAGATTCTTCTGCTACCAGATCCCACAGATCCTTCCTCGATACAACATTATAACCACCCTTATCTCGCACAGCCACAAATAGCTTAAACAAATCAAAATTTTGCTCGTCTGAAGTCATTTTAGTTCAGAGTCTTGAGACCAAAACTGCCTTAGTACACAAGGGTCCCTTTTTAAGCATTCAAACCAGTCGAATTCATTCTCGACCGAATTTCAGGACGCATTTTAAACTAAACATCAACAATAAATCTTATCGCACTATCTGAGTCAATAGGCGTTACTCTGAAAACACCCTAGTTCGTCGACAACTTGCTATAAGCTTTCCCAAAGATCCTCGCAAACCCTATTGCAGCCCCATTAACCATCATGAACCATCACAACATTGATTGTTGATGGTTCGAGTTCTAAAAACAAATATAAATTTTCCTTCGAACGATAAAAGAGGGAAAAAAAAATCGTAATGCAGCAAAAAGACTACGAGACAGAAGATTTGTGGACTAGGAATAAAAGTATATATCCATAGCTAAATTTTCGGATAATCAAAACTTTTTGGCGGGAAGAGATTAACAATGAGATCAAGAACATCGAATTCTGGAACCAGAATAAAATAATCTCCCGCGCTTCGTCTCTTTGATTACTAAATACTAATACACGACTAGAATCGCTCTAGATCGATTGATTTCGTACGTCAAGATCGTTAGAGGATACCATAGGATTTCAGCCTTGTAAATCGTATTTGCACGATGAGCTCCAAAAATCGGCGGCGTTTGTCAGAACCTCCGGTTATCTTCTTCGAAGTTCAAATCAAACAAGGAACAAGGAAGAAAGAGATGAGATTCGAATCAAACAAGGGACGGCATCTTTGTATTAAAAGAAATGGATCTTTTTCCTCAAGGTTTATAAGCATAATTTAATCCCTAATTTTTAGTTCAACTACCCTAGTATTTAACTTTCGCTAAATTTTAAAAAATAAATTTTGCAAATAATTTCAAAAGTAACCTTATACTTTTTAAATATTATAATTTTATTTTGATATATTAATAAATTTTTAAAAACTACCATTAAAATTATGACACGACCTAGAAAAGTGCAGCCAGAGATGGTTTGGAAAAGTTTATGAAATGTCAAGGACAATATTGTAATTTTAAAAAAGTCGAGGACAATATTGTAATTTTAAAAAATAATGAATTTTATGAACATTTTAACCGTTGTGTAAGTTGACTTAGATGGGTCAGGTGACATCAAGTGACATATTCGAAATTGTAATAATTCAAGCTCATTACTAGCAAATATTGTTCGCTTTATCCGATTTCATATTGTCGTTAGCCTCACGATTTTAAAACATGTCTACTAAGAGAGGTTTCCACACATTTATAAAAAAATGTTTCGATTCCCTCTCCAACCAATGTGAAATTTCACAATCCAACCCCTTAGGAGTGATTCCCTCTCCAACCAATGTGAAATTTCACAATCCAACCCCTTAGGAGTGATTCCCTCTCCAACCAATGTGAAATTTCACAATCCAACCCCTTAGGAGTCCAGCGTTCTTCCTGACACACTGCCCGATGTTTGAATCCGATACCATTTATTGAAAGAATTGACTTGGGGAGGGAACGAAACATTCCTTATAAGGTGTGAAAACCTCTCCCTATTTAACGTATATTAATACTGTGAGGTAGACAACGATACGTATCTATATTAGTTAAAATTTCAAACTAATAATTCAATTTCTACTCTAAATTTTCATAAATGAAGTATCAAGACTAAAATTCTTATTGTTAGATTTGAATATAGAAGTGTATGACAAAGTTGGAGAGATCATAAAGCTAGAGATAAATGAGAAAGACATGTATGAATCTTACAAGAGTTCCATCAGAATTGATGATCAAATATTGAAAAAAAGAATGAATATGCATGAACATCCAACAACATGAGGAACCAGACCATTATTTCTTCCTCGGCCGATGTATCGAATCGACTGCCTACGACAATTTATATCTCGAATTTGCAGCTATGAAGCAATCAACTTATCTATACAGCCATGGTTTTGAAAATGGACCTGTAATTGAACGCAGTGATGAACTGAGCTCAAGCTTGAATTTTAAGGACTAGTGAAGTTTCTCATTTCTGCAGACTCAAGGTAGCTCAAATATCGTCTCCTGCATAAAAAATCGACCAAAAAGTTCGATCAGCTTTGGAAGAACGAATCGGAAACAGTCAGGTTAAAGTTAGAACTTGGAAAATTGTCATCTATGGCAACGTAAATGATGGACAGTGCTTGTAACGTCCCAAACACACGGCTAACAAATATTGTCTTCTTTGGACTTTCCCTTCTCGACTTTCCCTTCTCGACTTTCCCTTCTAGACTTCCCCTCAAGGTTTTAAAACCGTAAGGCTGACAACGATATGTAACGAGCCAAAACAGACAATATTTGTTAGCAGTGGGTTTGGGCTGTTACAAATTGTAACAGAACCAGTCACGAGCCGGTGTGCCAGTGAGGATGTTGGGCCAGAAAAGGAGGTAGATTGTGAGATCCCACCTCAGCTGGAATGGGGAATGAAGCATTTTTATAAGGGTGTGAAAACCTTGAGGGGAAACCCGAGAGAGAAAGCCCAAAGAGAACAATATCTGCTAGCGGTGGGCTTGGATTGTTATAGCTAGCAAGATCGAGATTCGAATTCTGTCAGCATACTCGTAACTCGTTAGAACAAACCTTGTCGCAGATAGGACAGGCATTGCTTCTTTCGGTCCACTCGAGAAGGCAAGCGAGGTGAAAGTGATGCTTGCATTTTGTGATAATTTCTGGATGTTCAGAACCATACTCTACACAGAAGACACAATGTTAAACATGAATTGGTGATTTGATAAGTGAAAAGAAGAATGATATGCAGAAGAGTATCAGTTTCTATAGATGCCAATGCAACTCACCTTCAAGACAAATGGGACAGACATCCTCTTCTTCGGTGACCGGAGTAGGAGTATTGCCTTTCGACTTGGAATGATCGAGTTTCCGTGGAGGGCCTCCGAGCAAAGGGCTGTCTTGGAACTTACAATCCAGTTCCCCAACAATTTTCAATGCTGATGAAGTTTTAAAACTGCATCCACATTTTGTTTCTTTAAAAGAGTTGAGATCTTTCGGTTGTGGACATTTCAAAGCTGCATCATACGGGAGCGGTGTTGGAGGGGCTCGGTAAGTGTTCGGTATCGACAAATCCAGGTTCAAATCATGTCCTGCACCGAGGAGCATGGACGCTGAGCCACCATGAATTTCGGATGACTCACGCTCCTCCATAGACAGCGGGCACTGCAGAAAGGAGCGAATTTTGGATCTTAGTATTGGCCTAAAGAGAACAGGTGCAATAATGGTTCGTGATCGTGTGGAAAGGAAAACGAACTAACATAGTAGTATGCTGGAGTTCCATCCGAGTGAGATTTTCGGGTCGAACAGCAGCAGCCTCCCATTCTTTAATGACTTCTCTGATCCAACCCAGCAGCTGTTAGAACATGGTTTCCTGTTATATGGCCTAATGTTGTGCACAGACTTCGAGAACAGACGGTAGGGACAAAGAACTAATACAGATTGACAGTAGAAGAACAGACGGTAAACACACAAAGATAGAAGAAGAACTGAGTCACTGTGAGATCCCACGTCGGTTGGAGAGGGGAACGAGGCATTCCTTATAAGGGTATGAAAACTTCTCCCTAGTTGACACGGTTTAAAACTTAGAGAGGAAGCCCAAAAGGGAAATCCCAAAAAAGATAATATCTGCCAGCGGTGGTCTTGAGCTGTTACAAATGGTATCAGGGCTAGACACTGGGCGGTGTGCTAATGAGGACACTGGGTTTCAAGGGGGTGGATTGTGAGATCCCTCATCGGTTGGAGAGGGGAATGAAGCATTCCTTATAAGGGTGTGAAAACTTTTCTCCAATTGACGTATTTTAAAACCTTGAAGGGAAGTTCGAAAGAGGACAATATCGGCATGAAAATTCTTCTCCAAGAAAGGAGACAGGGATAGAACTTGAAGATCAACAAGCAAAATTCTATTTCATCAATGCGGAAGGAGACAACGATTATGGCTTCCAAAATGTCTGGTTAATGAACAAAGCTAATTCTCACGACTCGAGATTCTAAAAACAACCCCAATATATTCGTAACTGCATATTGGTATGGGCAAATAGTTTTGGATGTAGAAAGGAGGAACTTTAGTCATACTTCCCACAATCACCATATATCTCACCATAACCATAACGAAATCTTCTTTCTTATTTTACTATGTCAACTAGATGTATTTCTCTATTCATAGAGTACATTGTACAGAGTTTTGTTATTCTGCATTGCTAATGATTTAATAACTATTTTTGTAGCTCCATAATATTTCAGTTTATGCTCCTACCTATTATCTGGATATACCAAGAAAGATGTACGGTTTAATGAGGCTACTACGAAATATTTACTCATGGGTGGGACAAGTTCTTCTATTCTGGTTCATGGTTTCTCTTGGCTATATGGTTCATCCAAGGGAGAGATCGAGCTTCAAGAAATAGTAGGCGATATGGTGAGATATAGACCCGAATGAATACCTCAAATGAACTAGACTTCACAATCAAAGAGCCAAATTGCACATAACTACTAAAAATCTTAGCAGCACGAGTAACGAACCCGATTAGGTACCGTCCTCTCTTATAGTGGGATTTAAACTTCATACAGTTGAGCCAAATCCAAACCATACTACAAATAACCACTGAATGCTTCATAATGAACACATAGACAAGATGCAAAAGTACTTCCAATCAACTTGAATGATATCATAAATATTGTGTCCATTAGACTTTGATTCGGTAAAATAAATGAATGAAAACAACAAGGCGTTGAGAAGTCACTTTCCCACTGACTAACAAAGAAAAGAAACACAGAGAAACATCTCATGTTTCGCTCAAATGAACAGAAAGGACGTTTCAAAGGCAGCCATTAGAAGTGCACATAGCAAAATTTAAAAACCAGTGAACCCTTTACATTTTTGCTTCCACCGCCATAGCTAGAGCTCCAGAAAAGTTCTTAAATCCCCTCTAAATCTCTTTCTAAACCCCAGCTGCTTACAACCCCCAAGGAAACAAAAACCATTTGGTCATCAACAACCCAACATGTTCTTCTTAGTTCAACTCGACTAAGATCATAGGTTTGAATAATAATAATAATAATAACTTCCATCAAGAACGATGAAGAAATCCACTATCCAACAGAAATTTAAAACGCTAATCAGCAAAACAAGCCAAACTCAGATCACAGAATCATCAGCAACAGCATTAACAAAAACCGAAAAGCTCAAAATGAATCGGAAAAACGAATTGATCAAGAACAAATGCGATGAAATCGAAACGAACCGATTAAGAGAATCGTCTGAGGAAGAAATTGGCGCCTGTACTGAGCAGTGCAATCTTGGGCTGCAACTTCAATCCACGCGAGTCGCTTTCAAGAGCTGATTGAGGACGCCGATTTGCCATACAGCTCGCTCGATTACTAATTATTGTGCTGAATTTAATCAAAAGTTTTTGAATACCGCTTGTGTCTCTAAAATCGATACGAACAGACGCGACAATCGATATTACGTTGAGAAAAAATCATAACGAAATGGACAAAAAGAAAAAGAAAAAGAAAAAGAAAAAGAAAAAGAAAAAGAAAAATGAACAGCTTTTCTCCTTGGACCTACCACAACAGAAAGCAGTGTTCATGAAGTGAATGAAATGCAATAGTGTTTTTGTTATATGTTAGATAATATTTTATATTCTGATGTGACATATATTTTATCTAATTAATTTACTTAAATTATATAATAAAAAAAATTAAATTATAATTAATGCTTGCTTTTTTATTTTATTTTTAATTAATTAAACTTTATGAAATAAAACCACCCATTTATGTCAAGAATCACCGACTAAATGGAACGTATCTATTTAATATATATTATAAATTCTGGATTTCAATCATTTTCGATTGGTCCTTTTCAATTAAATTATTAATTTGTATTAATTATGTAAACAAAATTCAACAACCTGTTATCGCACATGATATTGTCTTTCTTTTTTAGGATATCATTATTTATTTATTTATTTTTAATTGATTAACAGATAATAAAATTCAACATTAATATAATTCATATTTTTGGAGAATAATAAAACCGTATTTTATTTAATTTTAGGTGAAATTTTCTACATTCAAATAATTTCTTTATTATACATTTAATTTAGCCGACTTTAAAATTTATTAAAATAGCCCAACTTCTTTGACACGGTATCGTGTTCAACTATATTCACATTCATCATATGGGTGCGGTGCGCTTCAACGCCTGATTCAAGTGGCCCTGAATCGGACACATTGGTCGCCTATTGCACGACTCACTAATTCTACTTAGGGTTTTCGATTCATGTTTTAATGTTTGAGTTAGTGGTTCGTGCAACTAAAAATACTGTATTTGCCTAAAACAATACATAGATAGCTCGTAAAATTTTCATTAGAAACACTTTTTTAGTTTAACTCAAACATATATAAGGATTCATAGAAAAAAGAACCTTCGACGACATTTAAAGTCTGAAGTTGCAGCAACTATTGACAAGATACCCACTAACAACAACATTCTAATCCTATACAAAATATTTAAGGTTAAGGTTAATGTTTCAAACCTCTAATCTTTTGGTGGATAACATACGTCTCTAAGTTGATCTATGCTTCGAACGATAATAATAAGTTTTTTTTGGTAATTAATAATATTATTATTTTATTCATTTTAGTTCAAATTATAATAAATAAAAAAATCTAAAAAATGACGCATTTAATGTCCAGCCCGCCATCATCCGCAAATTGCCTTGCAGTTGCGTAGAGGGCCAAGTCCTCTCATTTTCAACGTTCAAAATTATTTATTTACTTAAATTTAAACCATAGGATATCTCGATATTTGTTCGAGTATAACCATTTTTTTATGATAATTGATGTTTTATTTATTAAATTATGCTCGAATGAATATATGATATCTTAATCAATGAAGATTTTAAGTCTATAAATTGTTCATTTTTCAAGCGAGGAACGATGATAAATTATAAACTCTAAATTTAAAATTTAATGTTTTAAATTTTCACGTCATACCCGAGTTATGAATTCAAAATCATTAATTAGATGTGATTGGCAATGTCCAACCTAACCCCACCATCTCCCTCTTTGATTAACTTATAATCTAAGTGTCACCTTCCTTCTCTCGCCATAATTGAAATAATAATTTCAGCCTAGAAAGTTTCGTTATTATTTAACAAAATTTATATCATTTAAAAATTTTGAGTATTTATTCCATAATTTTTAATATATATCGTTTTTTTTATGGTAAGAATTTGAAAGTTTTTAGTTCAATAATTATAAATATGTTTAAATGATAAAAAAAATTTAATACGTTAAAATTTGAAATTAAAAAATAATTAATTTATTTGTTAAATAAATGGAAAAGTTTATATATATAATATGTTATTAAATAGTGTTTTTTTGGATGGATGGAATTAAAAAAAAAAAAAAGAAAAAAAAAAGGAGAGAACTTTTTAAAGAAAATGTATTTTCAAACACATTCACGCGGGCGCGCGTGGGTATCTTTAACGGCGTACATTAGAAGGGCATTGACGGACCAATCAGCATAAATCTTGAATTTGACGCTAGCGCACGTTAGCGTCGTCGACCTCTTTTCTATTCTATTTTTTAACTTAATAACATTAATAGGTACCGCCATTTCTGAGGGTCTTATTGGTTTTACTCTGTCAGCGCCAATGACGAGCTCAAGTCCGTGGCACGGCGGTGAGCGGCGTTATTCTAGCTCCAGCGGTGAGCGGCGGAATTCTAGTTCTGTCAGTGAGAGGCGGAACCCCAGCTCCCGTTGTAGTCGATCGCCTTACCTTTCTTACTTGCCCAGTCCCGATGTGTCCGCTGGTATGGAATCCCGTTCCCGACTTAATCCGGTGAAATCCGCTGCACGGTCCGTCGCCGGAGCTTTCATTACTTGCTTTACACCGCCGGAGAAGGAAACTTCGCCGGGTTTTGGTATTGGTAGCGAATTTCGTCATTCTTTAGGTAATACTTGATTTTAAGCTTGGGGAATGAGAACGACTTGGATCACCTGTGTTAGCTTTTGGTTTATCTTTTAAGAAACTGGTAGTGAAGATGAATGAATAGGTCTCGTTGCGGTGTCTTTTCAGAGCTATTAACCTACTGTTTAATGTTATCTCTTTTCTGTTGGTTTTTGGATCGTGGATGTTCGTCTGAAATTTTGGTGAAGATTTTAGTCTAATTGCTTGTTTTCTACACTATCTCAACTTGGAAATTCCCTGTTCTTGGTAATTGCAAAAACATATTCTCCAAGACTCGCTTATCTGTTTCTTCTAATCGAAGATTGTCTGAGATAGAGGCTTTCTTAACCTTGTGATACATTGAGATTTGAAACTCTTTGTCTTTTGCGCATTAAATTATATCATTTATTTGTTAGATGACTAGAGGAAGATAGGAACAAGTGGATTTTCCGAATCATTTAGAAAGTTCCTGAAATTGAGTCAGTTAAGAAACTGCAATTACCAATTTCAGTCTTCGTGGGCTGTCTGGATTCAAATTGTTCTCTCTTTCAAAGGGAAAATAAGCAGTAAACCACTTATTCCGATTGTGATCTTAGGATGAATTTGTGTGTTTTATATCTCTGTAATTCAGATGCTTCCAGTCATAATAGCAAAAGAAATCAAGGATCTAGGCGAGAAACCCACTTCAGTTCAAATCTAGCTGCCCATGATCGAGAGCCTGGATCTTTAAGGATCAGCATAGAAGAAATCCGCAAGGCTACAAAGAACTTCTCTGCATCTTCAAAAATTGGTCAAGGGGGTTTTGGGGCTGTCTATAAGGGGAAACTTGATGGAGTTCTTGTGGCAATAAAACGTGCCAAGAAGGTTCAATTTGATTCTTAAGCAGTTTATGGCTTATTGCTTTCAATCACCATCTCTGTTCATTGTTGTTAACGTGGATTCTTTTCTTTTTTTCTTTCATAACCTCTTTCTCTGCAGAGTGTATATGATAATAATTTGGGCGTGGAGTTCAAAAGCGAGATCCAAACACTTGCACAAGTAGAACATTTAAATCTGGTTAAGTTCTATGGTTATCTGGAACATGAAGATGAAAGAATCGTCATTGTTGAGTATGTGCCGAATGGGACACTCAGAGAGCACTTAGAATGTGAGTTACTTTGTTTCAGCTTTATCCTCTCTTTAAACTACACAGTTTAGTACTCTTATCTGAATCACCAAACTTGATGGCAGGCATCCATGGCACTACTCTTGACCTTGCTACAAGGCTCGCCATTGCAACCGATGTGGCTCATGCAATAACGTATCTTCATATGTATACAGGTATGGATTTGATTTGGTGCTCAACTCATCTTAACTATATAGAACCTAGTGCGCGTCTGGAATGACTTTTGGGAGGCTGAAAAGTGTTTCTATGGGCCAAAGGCACTTTTAAAACAAAACATGTACAGTGCTTTAAGGAAAAATGCTCAATTAATGATTCTTCCAAACTTGTTTATTGAAGAACACATTCTAAACTCAAATCTTAATGTATCTTCGTTGAAATGTAGAGTCGTTATAGCTGTTGATCTTATAAGATCATACATCTTCTGGTTCTTGTTGGTCTGACTATACTTGCTTTGTGTAGATCGTCCCATCATTCATAGAGACATAAAGTCTTCCAACATTCTCTTGACCGAGAATTATAGAGCCAAAGTTGCGGACTTTGGTTTTGCAAGACTTGCAGCAGACGGCGATGCGACCCATGTGTCCACTCAAGTCAAAGGAACTGCTGGCTACTTGGACCCAGAATATCTCAAAACTTACCAACTGACTGAAAAGAGTGATATCTATTCATTTGGTGTTTTGTTGGTTGAATTAGTCACAGGCAGGCGCCCCATAGAACCCAAACGAGAACTTGACCAGCGGATCACTCCAAAATGGGTGAGACTTTCTCTCTCTTCATTTCACTACTAATTTAGGATCATATATCATAACCGTAGAGAATACGTTAAGAATTGTTGAAAGGGAGTTCCACATTGGTTAATTAAGGAAATGATCCTGAGTTTATAAGTAAGAAATATTATCTCTATTGATACGAGATCTTTCGGAGAAAACAAAAAGAGCTGTGAGAGCTTATGCTCAAAGTGGACAATATTATACTATTATATAGGTTGGTGGTTCTTAACAGAATATAGTATACAATAAGTACATAAAGGTGAATGACACTATCTCTATTGGTACGTAGTTTTTAGTAGAATCTAAAAAATAGATCATGTGAATACAAATTCAATCTAGATAATATCGTACCATTGTGAGAAACTCATTATCATTTGTTCTTTCACACACTGCTCTGAGTTGACATAAATGTAGGCCATGAAGAAGTTTTGTGAAGGAGAGGCCAGCACAATTTTGGACCCAAATCTAGAGCAAACAGCTGCAAATCATTCAGCAGTGGAAAAGATTCTGGAGTTGGCCTTACAATGCTTGGCTCCCCGGAGGCATAGTCGGCCGAGCATGAGGAGATGTGCAGAGATACTTTGGAGCATACGCAAGGACCACAGAGATCTCACAGCTCCTGATCTCCGTTCATTCTCTACAAACTCACAAAGGAGTGCCTCGGTAAGAGAAAAATGAAACTCAAATCTTGGTTCATAATCATGATAAATTTGGAATTCTTGATCCTATGAAGAACAAAGCTCTCTTAGAATCTCTATTCCACGAAGCAAGCAGATTCCCAGAACGTATGTTTCTCTTCTTATGTTCATTGGTGAGATTATATTCGTTTGATTTAGGCTGCTAATAATACTCTCTTTTGCTTGTAAATTTGTGTATTTAGCTATCTCAAGGATGATTGATTGGTTTCTGTTCTGACTTTGTTCATCATTTGTGACTGAATAGTTAATAAATTGATTAGGAAATGGAGAAACTTCTGCCCAATCTCGTTCTCATTCTCCCTTCATACTAGGAAGTACCGTGGCTACTGGCACAAAGTTAGCCGATACTTTTTTACTAGATACAATCATTACTTCTCCAAAAGAAGAATTTCACGATCCGTAGGTCTTCTACCCTACACAACATTGCTCTGTTAGACTTTCACCCATTTAGGCTGGAGACACGAGCAACTCCTACCTGCCTAGTGAAATTATAAGTGAGACAAAAAAATATATTCTTTTTAAAATTATATATATTTAATTTAAAGACTTTGATGAAGGTCGGAGCCGCACTTAAAATTAAACAAAATTTAATTGAGAATTTGTAGTCAATTTAATTTTTTTTTACTCTTTAAAATTTTAATTTCAATAAGTTATTGTTTAAAATTTCATAAAAAATAACAAATTAGTAATTACAAAAGAGTATTTGTAATTATTTATTATTGTAATTTTAATTTTTTTAAACAAAATTTAATTGAGAATTGGTAGCCAATTAAATTTTTTTTTTACTCTTTAAAATTTTAATTTCAATAACTTATTGTTTAAAATTTCATAAAAAAATAACAAATTAGTAATTACAAAAGAGTATTTATAATTATTTATTATTGTAATTTTAATTTTTTTTGAACAAATTAACTTGTAATCATTTAATTTTTAATGATTTAATTATTATCGTAAAAAATTTCATCAAAATTAAATGTAAATTTATATTATTAAATTATGTCGAATTTGTAGCTTATAATCATAATAGGTTCGTAATTAGTTTATAGTTTATTGATCTATTTATATTATAATTTTTATTAAATCTTAACACCACCAATATTCATGGTAGTAAATAAATGTTATAAATTTAAATTAAAACATTAAATTATAATATATTAAAATTTAGAACAAATACTAAAATTCAGATACAGCAACTCACTGAATTGATTTTTCCCTCTTTCTTTTCTTTTCTTTTCTTTTTAGTAAATAAAAATTGAAAACCCGCCGGAGCGCATCGTCATTCTTCATTTGGCGCCATTTCGCTGCCTCTGGCTCTTCCAGTTCTCCCAAAAGACGAGACGCACCCATTCTCTCCATTTCGCTATCTGCTTCGTTCTTCGTGAGTATTCGTTGAATTTCATATGGACTATTTTTTTTTCAGAACTGGTTTTGCTGAATTCACTGTTCTTTTTCTTCTGTTGTTGGGAGGGGTTTATGTTTGAGCTAGGAAGCTTGCGATTGGGGGAGACGGGAAGGTGAGGGTGTCATCTTAGTTTTCCCTCAAATCTCTTGTAGTCGCGGGGGATGCTTTCCTGATGAATTTGAGTTTCTTGATTGAACTGTAATTTTCTCTGGTAATAGTTGGATTACTAACCTAGAAATCAGTCTGTTGTTTTCCCCTCCCACTCGTGACTTGTCTTTCGCATACCTGATTTTTTACTAAAATTATAGGTTTTTAAAGAATCCTCAAACCAAGAGTTTAGAATGAAATTCGTCTCTGTATTTGGAATTGAGGTTCTATCATAATGTTATTATGGATATATTAGTAATTAGTTAGGGAAGTTGTTAGGATATTTGGTTATAAATAGAGGAGTAAGGAAGGAAGAAATTAGACATTATTTTGGTTACTGAATTAGGGTTTGAAGTACCTCGAATTACTTGTTTATCTTGTAAATTTCTTTACCTTTCATATTCCAATGCATTGTGATTATGTTTTGGTTCCTATCATTCTGATCTCAGTTTAACTCTACAGCTATCCAAGCCTGTAATTTGTGCTTATTTGAACATTGTTATTTGAGGTGAGGTCAGAGAGCGTTAGTATTGGGTTAGGAGGGCCCTTATTCCCTATCTTGTTGTCATTCCCATTGAGAAGCCATTGACCTTGCCACTTTTCACTTGTCTTCAATGTAGCTGCCATTTCATAGTCGCAGACACACCAAAAAGGGGGTAATAAGACGTAGAAAATTCCGAATTGTTGATTTACATTTGCCATTCTAAGTCACAACGAAACACCAATTGGCAGCAGTTCTGATTGGACTTCTCATCTCAATTTGTTTAGGCATTGATAAGAAAACAGTCTGGGAGAGTCATCAGAATAATTGAACAATATGGCATCAAGTTTGGGAGGGGCGTCGGTGTCGCAAACTGATGATTTTGAGACGTTCACTCCAACGACAGATGTTGAGCCTCTAAAGAGGGCCTGGCGTAATGAAAAAGCTGCTCCTGAGATTCTACCCTTTGAGGCATCTTTGGTTGGGAGAATCAAAGAGCAGATTCAATTAATGGTATTCCAGAATTCTGCCTTAATGCCTGTTTAGTTCCCAAGGAATTTTAGGGAAAGAAAATCAGTTGCAATATCACAACTGATGCAATCCCGATGTTGTTATTTATGGAATAATTGAATATCACCTCTGGAATTTTAGTAATTCAAGATTTCATTTACATAAAATCCAGTTTCTGAAATTGCAATTTTAGTCCATATATTTGATACTCAAAATTTATTTTATAAATTTATAAAAAGAATTGGTAATTGTCCACACACACAAAATTATCATACAGATTTTCTTGGTAGCAAACTAAAAATACATATTGATACATTGTTCTTAAATTATAATAATTCTTCAATTGTGTGGTCCATTTACCTTATTCATAGATTACTGACATTGATACCATTCTCATCCGTTTTCAGGAAGATACTATAGAGGAATATTCAAGAAGTGGCATCGATCCCCTAATTGTATCACTCTATCAGATGGATTTAGATAGGACACAGTTCTTGTTGAGATCATATATTAGGATTCGCTTACAGAAGGTACAACCTAACTATACTTTAGTTTTGTTTGGAGACAGTAGTTATGCTTTTGTTTCTCGTTTTTCCTTTTCTCCATTTTATATTTCATGTAAGTTCATAATGATTTCATTGCGTTTGAAATCATATTTTTGTACATTCCACACAAGCATAGAGAACAGATCATGACCCAACTTGAAAATCGATTTAATTCTCCAACTTAAGTTCCATGTATGCTACTATTTCACTTCCATAATTCTAAAACAATCTTTCTCCCCCAGATTGAGAAGTACATGCTCTATATCTTGAAGTCGGATGAACTTTTCAGACGGCTTTCTGAGGAAGAGATAACATTTACTGATAGGTGAATGCTATATCATATTGTTCATTTTCTAATGGTCTAGTTTTTTTTTTTTTTTTCTTCTGACATTCATGTTGTGGCGCAGGTGTAGTCATGATATGAAAAAACATTTTGATGAGAGTGTTCTATCAAAATTGCCAAATAATTATCAGGACATTTTGAGGCAATCTATAATAAGTGAAGAGGATGACATGGGTACTCAAACACCTTCAAAATAAATTCTTTGATTGTTTACATAAAGCACTGAATCACATGCTCTCTCACCTTTTCTTTTTTGTGTGTTTTTTTAATGTTCACATTCATGTTATGTATTCCTCAATTTGAATCTGCAGATGGTAATGTATGTGGACACGGTGCAATTCCTTTAGTAAGATCAATCATTGGGTCTTGGTTCGTTAAAGAGCATTGATGAACTTCTTTGATTAAATAGTTCATAATGGAATTGCAATAATTAAGAAGTTAAGGTTCCGAAAGATTTAGCTTCCTTTCAGTATTCCTATCATTGGTGCTTTTCAAAGAATTGCATAGGTACTTGGAATTAGAACTTATTAGATACTTCCACGTGATGTTCTCTGACAATGTATTGGCACGAGAGTAACTTAAAGTCAATATGTAGAATAGTTCAGATCAATTCTCATGTAGGATTTTTATTTCCAATCTGCCGCCATATTTTTTTTCCTCTCCCATGCTTCTTAGTTGGATGTCTCGTCAGATGGTGTGAATTTGTCCTGCTTTATAAGCCGTCAGATTTTCTTTTTTTTTGGGGTTTAAATACTCTTTGGTCACTATATTTTTTGCCTTGGTTCATTTTGTTTCTTGAACTTTTATCATTGGTTCGTTTTGATTGCTATATTTTTCAAAATGTCCATTTTGGTCCCCGTACTTTTAAAAACCTACCATTTTGGTCCATTCATTTTTCTTATATTGATTCGGCTTATTTCTGCATCGTATTCCTTTGGAAGTTATCAGCATGTGTGAAATTTTATTGATGTAAATTTCATTAATTACATGTTATTTGAATGTTCATGATTTTGGTTTTGTCTGATTCAGTTCCAGAACCTCCACTGGACACGTTTGTGGTCTGCAAAAGTAAGGAATATCTTGAACATATACAGCTTGAGGATGAGGAAGAGAGGGCATCTAGTAGAGTGTAACTTTTCTTTTTCCTCCTTTTTATCATTTTACTCCTTTTGTCGTTTCCATTTTTTTTGGCTATTATAAATGACTATTTTCTAAAGGATATCAAATTCTACAGAGAGGAACCTTTTGAGATGGAGGCCAATGTATTACACATTATTCGCTACAAGCCTATAAAATCACTTGTAGAGAGCGGGAGAATTGATTTGCTGTAGACTATCTTCACAGCAGCTTCGAACATCGGTACCCTTCACCATCTTTATTATCTTGCTCAATCTGTGTGTGATAAAAGGCATTTTTCAACTTAGTTTTGGTAGTTTCATGGCCTTAATGTTGGTCACTGTTCCATAAAGCAAATAATGTTAAGAGCAGTTGAAAGGTTTGAAAACCATTCCTGGTTGGTTTTTCAAGGTAACCAATTGTCCATAATGAACTTTGTAGCATCAGTGCAACCAACTACTAAAATAGTTAGCATCTACCTTGAACTTCACTTTTGACATATTTTTATTTGTATACAGATGGTACTGATTATATATATATATATACACTTTATATTCTTATGAAGTTATCTATTAAATTAACTTGAATTATAAATTGATTTGATTACTTTTTGAAATTTTTCAGTATACGTGGGGACGGGGATGAGAAATTTGAACTTGGCTCCTCGTCTTGGTAGGATATATATATTTTATACTAAAAGATCATTTTGAAACAAATATATATCTGTTGTGCTAGAGGCATATCAAAGACCATGGCTCCTCGTCTTGGTAGGATATATATATATATAGTTCTTTATTCTATTGTATTCATTTTTAATATTTCTTAAGTTTTTTAAAAAATTAAAGTGGAGGGATTTTAATCAAAATCTGCCAGTTGTAATATCATAAGCGGACAAAAAACACACCTTTCTTTGGGATTTTCTGGGGGAATGAAATCTAATTTATCACCCACCAGCAATCTTTTGGTTCAGAATTAAGAACCAATATTTCTAATTAAGGGACAAAAGGAAAAAAAAATTAAACTTGGCTATAGTCGCCGGAAAACTCAGAACAACCGGCAAAATCCACAAGCGGCGGAATCGACTCCTCCGGCACGATCAGAGTTCTACAGAGTGGACAGCTTTTCTGGTCTCGAATCATCCATCCGTCCAAACACTCCTTATGAAAAATGTGTTTGCAATTCTTCAAAAACCTAACCTCCTCGTCGCCCTGAAACTCACAGAGACAAACGGCGCAACATTCCGGTGGAAATCCGGCTCCGGTGGCGTCGAAAATGTCGGAGAATTTTACCACGGGGAAGAATTCCTCGATTGGGATCGGCAATACGGAATGATCGTCGATGGTCGGGGTTGGATTTTGAGGCCAAACGACGCTGGATTCGAGAAAATCGGGAAGCCCTAGGATTCGGAAGAGCGAAATAATGAGGCTTCGAATATAGCCGAGAAAGATGAGGAGATGGAGAAAGGCGTTGGAGAAAAATACGTCGGCATAGCCTACGGGATACCCCATGGCGGTCGGAGAGAGAGAAGATTCCGGTTCCCCGGTTCTGTTTGTGGAACAGCAAAGAGAAAGGGGATTACACGGCGGTTCATCAATGAGACGAAAATTGTGTATTTATAGAGAGAGATGTGGAGACTTAAATTTGGAATGGATACTGTAGAGAATAGTAATGGTGACCGGCAAAGATGAAGGCTGCCGGGGGACGGCGGCGACACCGTTGAGCGGCGGCAACGGCGGAAGGAGGGAAATTTTAATTATTTTCACATTTATTTTTATTTTTTTTCATTCTTCTCGGGACACAAAAGTCAATAGTAAGAGCTCTTATTTAAAGATTTATTTTTTGTTTTAAGTCTAAGTCAACAATTCGATTATTCCTAGTCAAAACACGACGTTTAAAGATTTACTTGAATCGTGGGTCCCATATTTCTCGTATTCCATAATAATCCCATAATAATAATAAATAAATAAGCAAGGTTCACGTATTCCAAGCTTACAATATTCACGCATTCACACAAGCAACTCCCGTTGAAACACTTTCCTGGTTGATTCGATTTTAACAATAAATACCCAAACCACTTTCATCTATTCTCAAGCTCACAAAAATGGCGGAAAAGAAAGCTGATCATGTCGTTCTTCTTCCATGGTCGGCCTTCGGCCATTTAATGCCCCATTTTCAACTCTCCTTAGCCTTAGCCAAAGCTGGCGTCCATGTCTCCTTCATCTCCACCCCCAAGAATCTCAACAGACTCCCCGGAATTCCTCCATCTCTGTCGCCATTCATAACTCTGGTGCCCATTCCACTCCCCAAACTCCCCGGCGACCCCTTGCCGGAAGGTGCAGAGGCCACTGTCGACATTCCGTTCGACAAAATTCCGTTTCTGAAACTATCTCTAGATCTCGCTGAGCCGTCGGTTCGAAAATTCGTCGCCGATCATCCTAATCCGCCGGATTGGATGATCGTTGATTTCAATGCTACTTGGATCTGTGACATTTCTCGAGAATTTCGAATTCCGATTGTTTTCTTTCGCGTTCTCTCGCCTGGATTTCTTGCTTTCTTCGCTCATGTTCTTGGGAGTGGTCTGCCTCTGTCGGAAATCGGAAGCCTGATGTCGCCGCCGATAATCAGCGGATCCACGGTGGCGTTCAGGCGGTATGAAGCTGCCAAAATTCATGCTGATTTGTTTGAGAAGAACGATTCTGGTATGAGCGATCGCGAAAGGGTAACGAAGATTATTTCCGGTAGTCGAGCAATTGCAGTTCGTAGTTGTTACGAATTTGATGTTGATTATTTGAAGTTATACTCGATTTTTTGTGGAAAGAGAGTGATTCCTCTAGGGTTTCTTCCTCCAGAAAAGCCCCAAAAATCAGAGTTCGAGGCCGATTCGCCATGGAAATCGACCTTCGAGTGGCTCGATCATCAAAGCCCCCAATCCGTGGTGTTCGTCGGATTCGGAAGCGAGTGCAAGCTCACAAAGGATCAAATACACAAAATAGCCCGCGGCTTGGAGCTGTCGGAGCTGCCATTTCTATGGTCTCTGAGGAAACCGGACTGGGCGGGGGACTCCGACGCGCTGCCGGCCGGTTTCCAGGATCGGACGGCGGAGAGAGGGATTGTGAGAATGGGGTGGGCCCCACAGATGGAGATTTTAGGGCATCCGGCGATCGGAGGGTGCTTCTTTCACGGAGGTTGGGGATCCGCCATTGAAGCTCTGCAATTCGGGCATCGTCTAGTTCTGTTGCCGTTCATCGTGGATCAGCCGCTGAATGCGAGGCTTTTGGTGGAGAAGGGAGTGGCAGTTGAAGTTGAAAGAAAGGAAGAGGATGGATCTTTCAGTGGAGAAGACATAGCCAAAGCTTTGAAAGAAGCTATGGCTTCCGAAGAAGGGGAGAAGATTAGAAGGCGAGCTACTGAAATGTCCGCCATTTTTGGGGACACGAAGCTTCATCAGCGATACATAGAGGAATTTGTAGAATTCCTGAAAAATGGGGATTCAAATCAGTAGTTTCAGAGCCTTTGGATCCGCGTGAAGCTTTTGGGCTTTTGGGCCTTTTTTAATAAGAAAATTCAGTGGGCCAAAAGTATCGTGTGAAGGCCCATGAGAAAACAGTAAATGGCCCAAATGAATGGGTGAAAATTAGGAAATAGTAATAAGAGTGAAGGACTAAATTTACCTAAATTACTTTTTATATTAACTTTCAAACGGGGAGATCTAAACAACTTTAGAATAAATATTCTGTAAACCTAGCGTGTAGCCTACGAGACGCTTATAACCAGGGACGAATCCTCATCGAATGAATTAACTAAGATAATTAAAATTTGATATCAAACTATGAACTACTAGCAAGGTGCTTACTGAATATATTTTATGTATTCATCTATGCTATTCTGACTTTTCTTTCAGATTAGGCTTGATGGAGCGAACAAGGTAGAGGTGTGCACGTGAGCTAAGGGCCATGGAGTTTTGTGCTAGATAGATGTCTTGTACCACCTTTGTTATGTTTCCTTTACGAACCCTTTAAATCTTTGTATTTATGGATGGATCGTCAGTTTGTGATGTGTTTCAAAACAATGTCATACTAAATCTAGATTTGCTTTATGTACATGCACGTTTAAAAGCTTTAAAATTTACGCTTTTTTACTTATTTTTGCATCAGTGAGTAACGGTCTGATCTCAAATCCTTCGAAAAGCGGGTCGTTTCACCTACCCACCCACAGTTTTCACTTTTTCCTTTCATTCATCAACAACCAACAACTTGTCAAATTATTTATCAACATTGAATTGTGACTTATTCTCGCTCCCTAAATCACTATTGTTTTTTTGCTCTTTTGAACTACCTGCCTTAAATCACTATTGATTTTGTCTCTTTTGTGATACCTTTCCTTGTTTGATCCCGACTCAAAATTCAGGACTTAAAAAGAAAGAAAAAGTAATTCTTATTTCAATTTTCATCGGTGAAATTTTTACATTTCAAATAAATTTTTAGTGCATAAATTCCCGTTTTCAATATTATATCATAACGACTACAAATTGATTTAAACACCTTTGGTCACATGTTCCACACATGCAATGTCCACTCAAATCACATTTGAAACTTCCACAGAAGCACTTTACATCGTTGCTGTTAAGGATAGTTGACCGTTCATTATAAGGCAAATATCTAGATATTTGCCTTACATTACGGGTTACCATATTTTCCCTTTTACTAAATGCAAATATATTGTATTCATTTATTATTCTTTCCTTTTATCGCTATTTCCTTATTATTTGTAATTTACCTTATTTCTGTATTCTGTAAATGATTATAAATAAGAGAAGTCTCACACCATTTGGGTGTGGTGGATTAATCAAACATTCACATGGTATCAGAGCCCTTTCGGTTTAACAACCCTGATCCTTTCTTCTCTATGGCTTCCGAATCTTGTTATCATCTTCTTCCTTTCAATACTCTAATCCATATGATCACCATCAAACTTTCTTCCTCCAATTATCTTCTTTGGAAAAGCCAACTTCTCCCTCTTCTTGAGAGTCAAGACATGCTGGGCTATGTCGATGGAACTATGGTTCCACCACCTCGCTTTGAACCAGAAACCTCCTCAACATTCAACCCCAAATATTTGGCATGGAGAGCAGCCGATCAACGACTTCTCTGTCTCCTGCTCTCCTCTCTCACTGAGGAAGCCATGGCTGTTGTCGTTGGTCTCTCTACTGCACGTGATGTTTGGCTTGCGTTGGAAACTACGTTTAGCCATCAGTCAAAAGCTCGTGAACTGAGACTCAAGGATGACTTGCAGTTGATGAAACGTGGCACAAAACCTGTTGCTGAGTATGCCCGTGCCTTCAAAAAAATTTGTGACCAACTTCATGCCATTGGCAGACCCGTCGAGGACATTGATAAAGTGCACTGGTTCCTTCGTGGACTCGGCACCGAATTTTCAGCTTTTTCTACTGCTCAGATGGCTCTCACCCCTATCCCCTGTTTTGCAGATCTAGTCTCTAAAACTGAAAGTTTTGAGTTGTTCCAGCGCTCCCTTGAGTCCTCTGACTCCACTCCTACAACATTCATAGCCACTAATCGTGGTCGCACCCATGAAAGTCACCCTGCTTCCTTTACCAACCAGCGAGGTCGTTCTTATTCTCACAAAAACAACTCTTCTAATCGAGGACGAACCCACTCAAGTCAGGGTCGTCGACCACCTCATTGCCAAATATGCCGCAAAGAGGGCCATTATGCTGACCGCTGCAACCAACGGTATGTTCGACCTGATTCTTCTCATGCTCACCTTGCTGAAGCCTTTAACACGTCATGTTCTATTGCTGGACCCGATGCTGCTGATTGGTTTTTGGACACTGGAGCTTCGGCCCATATGACTGCCGACCCATCAATTCTGGATCAGTCTAAAAATTACACGGGTAAGGACTCTGTGATTGTAGGAAACGGTGCATCCCTACCCATTACCCACATCGGTACTCTTTCTCCTGTTCCAAATATTCACTTATTAGATGTCTTGGTTGTCCCTCACCTCACTAAAAATCTTCTTTCCATAAGTAAATTAACGTCTGATTTTCCTCTCTCCGTTACATTTACTAATAATCTTATTACTATCCAGAATCATCAAACAGGAAGGGTGGTGGCAACCGGTAAAAGAGATGGAGGGCTATATGTGCTGGAGCGCGGCAACTCTGCTTTTATTTCAGCCCTTAAAAACAAATCTTTACGTGCTTCATATGATTTATGGCATGCTCGTCTGGGTCATGTGAATCATTCTGTTATTTCTTTTTTAAATAAAAAAGGTCATCTTTCTCTTACGTCTTTATTGCCTTCTCCATCATTATGTAATAGTTGTCAGCTTGCGAAAAGCCATCGATTGCCTTATTCCCGCAATGAACGTAGGTCGTCTCATGTGTTAGATCTTATTCATTGTGATCTTTGGGGTCCTTCTCCCATCAAATCAAATTCAGGTTTTCTTTATTATGCTATTTTTATTGATGATTATTCTCGATTCACTTGGTTTTACCCTTTAAAATTTAAATCTGATTTTTTTGATATTTTTCTTCAATTTCAAAAATTTGTGGAAAATCAATATTCTTCTCGTATCAAGGTATTTCAAAGCGATGGTGGTACCGAATTTACTAGTACTTGTTTCAAAACTCATTTACGTAATTCTGGCATCCACCATCAACTCTCTTGTCCATATACACCTGCTCAAAATGGTCGTGTTGAGAGAAAACATCGTCATGTGACTGAGACTGGCTTGGCCCTTCTCTTTCACTCTCATCTTTCTCCTCGTTTTTGGGTT